CGAGAGAACAGGCAGTTCTGTTTGCCGGAAACTGACCAGACAGAGAGTCTGCTATTGACCTAATTTCGGCTCATTGTGTATAAACCGAAACTAACCAAGCGAAGATCCGGCGATCTGCGAACTCCATAGATCCCCTCTCCCCCCTCCGCGTATGTGCACGTGTGACGACAAGCGGTACGTAAACACGAAGTAAGAAAGCACGAGATCGGTGAAGCGGATCTGTAAATGATCGATAATGTAGACTGTGACAGAATTATACAGACTGAATTTCCTGTGTGAACTTTGCGGTCAGTTCGCTTTGCTGTTGCTTCGCGTGTGCGAAAACGTCATCGATTCGATGTAACGTAGCTAACAGTAACTGAAAATGTTTAAGACGCTCAATGTACGAACGTCTCGACATTCGTCTATCGGTCGTTAAATTTATCTTTCTTATTTGATAAGCCGTGATAAGAGGCGACGTGCTTGTTGACGACATCACCGATCGACCGTATCATTTAATTCCGATAACAAGCGTGTCTGCTGGTTTTAGAATCTTCAATAATTAATATTGAGACGATAAATTAAAATAGCACTTCGCGTTACAATAGAAAATTTTATGAAATATTGAGATTGTTTTCTTTCTTTACCTTACGTAATATATTTCATATAAAAAAAGATTGTTAATTAATTTCATCGCAAACTTCGTACTTTTTCTTTTAATTTGTGCTTTCGTACAAAAAAAAATGTCTTCCTAATTAGTGTGATTTTCTTTTAACCTGTTGAGGAATTCATTCATTATACAAAATGAGTTGAACGTCGCAAAAAGTTTGCGACAGACATCGACGCGACCCAATAACCGTGACACGATTTTTCCCGTCGTCGTGGCTTTTCCCGTTGCTCGTTTCTACATCCTCGCGTGTGAATTCGATTGTTCCTCTCGCGCCAATAAATTCGCGCGCATCCGCAATTGGCCGGAACGGACTTTCGCGATGTTCTTGACACACGCGACGACGGAGAAATATTATATTTCCACCACGTACATTACGAGAAATATCAAATTCACTGCATGTACAAAATATTATATAGCGAACACCATTAAACTACTATTGATTTCATTTATTACACGGATGATTAAATAAGTAGATTGCGTTAAGAAGATTGAGAGAAATATATATTCTTGTATATTTTTTCTTATATAAATGTAGAAATTTAAAATATTTTTCAAAAACACGTTCGCATCGGTCGCGCGATTTCTTTCACCGGTCGATTCGATTTAATAAATTATTTTAGTTCCGTGACGGGCAATATATATATTTATATGTATGTATAAATGCACGTATGTACCAGTCAAATGTACAACTGGTATTTCCAGTACGTCCAGTTCCGTGGATACGATATAATCCTGTTTATCTCTGCGCATGTCGCAATTATATAACTGTGTGTCCGATGGATAATTGACCGAGAAAAACCGGCATCATAGGTAATATACATTTCTATACAATGTGTATATGTACATATAAATATCGTGTACATATAATACCGTGCGATTTTTATGACGTGTTAATAAAACTCGTTGCTCGGCGAAAAATGAAAGACGACGGTTTTATAATTAAGTCCCGTATCGATTTCGTGTTGTTTTCTTTGTCAAAAAATATTAGTTTTATGTTCGTGCGATTAGCTCGTATAGAATAGCGAGACCGCAACTTTTGTTTTTACGATCGCAGCGCTCGTTAGAAATGCGATCGATTGAACGTACCGTGAAACGCATTAAATATGAACACGCGATAGTTGATTAAAGGCTCATTTTCAGCTTGCTCGGCAGGTGAAAGAGAAATACATACATATGTTTCGATAATATATGTAAATAATAATTATGTGAAAAAAATCTTATCCGGTTACGTCACACAAAAATAAATGCTCAAATTACATAAATTGAATTATTTTGCACGAATTGAGTACGTTACATTCGATATATCCCTTAACCGCACTAATTTATTACTTTCGTACGCTTTCAATTATGTCTCTAAGGTTAACATGGCAGCAATGCAAATGCATCATAAATCATGTCGCACCGAGAAATGCGGCAGCTCCGCCGAACCGTGTGACGTTTAATGATCGCTGGCGCGTTACACTTTTCTTGGCAACAATTAAATTTGCGAGTAACGCAGAGGCAGATGCGATGGCGGAAAAGTGCCTACCTGTTGCATCGTCGGATCGTCGTGGAAAAATATCCGGAGAACGATCGCGGAAAGAGTTTTTTTTTTTATTTAATTTGCTTGTACATGTCGCAACTTAATGTGTGATTCGTGTTAAAATAAATGAAATCGAAAAAAAACCGAAGAAACTGTGTCAAGAGACACTTCAGACAAGCGTGAGTATCGGGTAAATTTGATATACGAGGTTCAGCTTTCCGTGGACGGAATTTTATCGTGCGATCTAATCTGCCGACTTTCGCGTTTCAATAGACGGCAATTATATCTCGCAGCGCTGGTGCTAAATCGACAAGATGACGGCGATTTGATAACGCGCGTGTATTTTTTTTTCTTCTCGTTTCTCGACATCGGTATTGTTCCGTCCCCTCTCTCCGATCGAGATCATTTCCGATCCCACACACGAACGTGTCCATTCCGCGAGAGAGCGTGAGAGTTTTTTTCACCGCCACCCGTTAGACGCTCTAAATTTCCGAGATAGCTTATCCCCCGCTCTTCTTTTAGCCTCAAATGTTTGAGACGCATCTCCCTTTTATGCGCCTCTCCCTATGCACTTCTGCGACAAAATGGCCTATTGAGAAAGTTTCAAAGCCCTGAAAAGTCGGGCGGTGTATACACACTACTTTCTTCCACCACGATAAACCGCGCGCGGCGCAGATGAGCCCAAAGGCGCCATTTTACCGCATTCGAAATACCGTTCATCAGCCAATGGTTTCAACACACATCTATTAATAAAATCAATAATATCGTTTCACACTGATTTACAAATTGTTAGCTTGGCGTAATTTCACATTACGGTGATCACAACTTTTAATGATCAATTAATTATTTACACGGTCAATATCGCGGGCGGGTGTGCGGATATTTTTGCAAACAATCATAATCAAGAGGCAAAGCAAACAAGTAAACAAGCATTATAGATACATTAGAGTCGACAATTGTTAATGAAGTTGACAGATTTTAATGACAATTTAAATAGTAATTAATTTCTACATACGTGTGTGTAATATGCAAAATTATAATTACGCAAGTTGAACTTTGTGAATGCGGAGAGATTGTTTATGCGATGAAATTTTTGAAATTTGTCACCGTCTGCGGCGACTGCACAACTCGCATTCCGAGAATCCGCGCCGCAAGGTGACACGAGAGATGACGAGAAACGCTAACATAACACACGATGAGTGGACATATGCTGATGACGCATTTCCCTTCGTAATCCGCCATGATTCAACGCGATCTGCTTATGCACGCGCGTAACATGACAATATAAAGTTTCTAGAAAATGCGATGTTCAAAGGGAAATCTCGTAATCTCTTATAAATTTTCATTACGAGATTCTATATAAAATTCGTCCTCAAGTTTGTTAACGCAATAAAGTCCGTTTGAAAATTAATGTCAACGAAATGCGATTATCTATATTTGTCTTTCTCGCTGCGAAAATTAACCCGACAAAACTTAGCACATCTGTAAAAGGTCAAGTAATTACGGAAATTAATGTCGGTGTGTGTCCGTCGATTTTCGCAAGGTGTGATATACGTATGTTGAGAATTAATTTGTTTCGCATCTGTCCGAGTTTTATCGAACACGCGCCATTTCTGCGCGTTTATATCTGCCGTAATTACATGTCATCGCGGAAACGGGACGTCGCCGCGACTGCAATCATCGCGCTTCCGTTATCGTCATGTAATCACACACAGTCTCAATGTAGCGGAAACGAAAAGCGACCTTCACAGCGACGTTCACGCTTATTATCAACAAAAAACCGCCCTTGAATCTTATCGCGAGAAAGAAACAGTTTTGATCTTCGGGATCTCGACACACATCTCAGGGAAGCAGAAATATCCCATTTACTTTCGTATTTGTATAGAACGTTCCGTCGCGTTTCCCCGCAGCAGGATTTCCCGCCCAAAACTACTATCGTTAGAATAAAGACGTGTGAGGAATTATATGATCCGCGCGCGCGGAACAGAGACGGAAGTGAGGTCGAATGGATCCAACACAACGGGCTTTGTGCGCGCTCGCTGTTCTCCACCCCTGCGCGCGCGCGCGCCCGCGCGATTATAACGAAACGTAATTCCACAACGTTCCACGAAGGCGCCATGGAACATCGTGCACCTGTACCAACAACACTTCCGCCGTACGTGTGTACACGCAAATGGTATACACACGCGCGTCGAGATTACGTATGTTCGTCCCGACTGTCATCGGTATAATTACGTTTGCAAACGGCAAACGCACTCGTGCATGCGCCGCCGACTCGCATCCCGCAACGCCTAAAGCCGCGCTCACATCGGACGCGAGAATCACACTCATGTACGTGCAGTATAGCAGAAATTGTCAAAAAATATATATTTCAAAAATATATATTTTTTATTCGGGACAAATCACACACGACTAACGAATCATCTCTGTGAGAGAGGATTAAGTAAGAAATTAAAAATGTTTTCTTCTTCTTTCTTCAGGACATCGTTTTGTTCCGATCGATATCTGCAATACATTTTCTCTCTCTCGTTGTGATGTTCTTGCGTGGATACTCAAAACGCGTTTAACCACCACGAAGTTATAATTTTAATGTTAAATATCATTTTTTTTTTCTCATAGTTTCGCCAGGATGAGATCTTGTGATTGATAGCCGCGTTAATTAGATTAATTAGATACCGAGTGACATATAATAAAAGTGTTAACAGAACTTGACACAATTAAGTGTCAACTTTGCTTTTTTTCACAGGTGATTCGTGATGATTAATGTGTGTAATAAATTTTTGCGATATTATCTTAGATGGTTTTATATTTACCGACTCTGCCACTCACCTCGCTGCCATCTTTCTCACGTTTGCGATCGTCGGATTATATGCGTGATCTTCTCCACTGACTCTCACCACCCCTTCGTCAAAGTTCGCCCCGAACTTGTTCACCACCAATCCCACCAAGTCCGCGAAGTCGTCGTGCTTCTTCATCGTTGTCGTGGGCGGTATCGTCTCGCTTTTCCCAGATTTTTCAACGACCGGCGTTGAATCGCTATTCGCCTGCTCTCGGCTGCCATTGGCACGCTGCAGGAACTTCCGGCGGAAGTTGTTGTAGACGGTGTCGGCGTCTGGCGGGTCACCGACCCTGACGCGAGCGTGACTCGGGGTCAGATGATGGCCGCTGTAGCCCAGATCCATCTGCAGGTCCATCACCAGCAACAGCGTGAACAGAATGGCGAACGCGCTCAGACCGAGTACCACCTTGTCGCGGATGCGGATAAGTTTGACGATCAGTTTCATCTTGAAACTTTTGTGGGATCTTTTGTCGGGCAATCCGCTTCTCTTCTCACCTTTCGGTAATCTCTGCTCAATTAGCGGCAGCCGTAGATCACTCGATTGACGATCTGCGGGACTGGAAGACTTCTGAATCAGTCGTGGGTTGTACAAAGATTCAATACTGTTGATTATCTTCAAGGGTAAACTTCTGATGTTTATCTTAGTGGATACACTTGTCAGAATATTTTCGGAATCTTTTATCGTGAGAAGATCAAGTTTTTTTAATTCTTCATTGGATTTTTCAATCTCAAAGAGCGGGGTTTTTTCCGTAGAATTGTTTACTTTAATAACTAGATTCTTCAAGTTCTTCGTGGAATTTTCTTCTTCGAGATCCGAACGCTCCGATACATCTTCAATGGATTCCGCGCTGGTTTCCGAATTTTCTTCGAAAATATTCACGATATCTTCGCCGCGAGAGATCTCAAAGATCGGAATACACTCTTCCGCTGGTTTCGCGATCGACTGACGTTTCGTATTGCATGTCGAATCCACCAGTCTGCATTTTGTGCCGACCGACGAATCGTGTTTATCAAATGACCTGCTGTTATCGGGCTCTGACGACCTTCGACCCGGCCGGTTCTCCTCCGGCGGAGGCGATCGCTTCAGCTTGTACACACTGTTGCGTTCTATTCGCACCTTCTCCGATTCCTGAAGAGTTTCTCGAGAGTCTGTCGACGGAAAATAACGTTTATGAACGATCGAAGATTGATAAACATCTGTTGAATCGCGTCTGGCTTGTTTGTGCCTTAAAGGTCGCACAGGCGCTGCCTGATCATCACCAATACTTGAACAGAAATTCTTCAATGAAGAGTTCTTCAACGAAGGGTCATTCTGAACAATTCTTTCTGTCGATTGCAATAATTCTTTTCCTTTTTCAGCCGAAGAAATACCTTTCGCAGCTAAAGAATAAGAATTTTTCATCAACAAATGACCGTTCCGAATAATGTTTCCTATCAATTGCGACGATGAGTCTTCATCGCAAATGTCTTCTTCTTTTTCAGCTGAAGAAGTGACTTCCCTAACCGGAGATCGAAGATTCTTCGTCCGCGAAGACTTTTCTTGGACGTTTTTATCTATTAGTCGCGACGGCGGACTTTCAGGAATGTTTTTCTCTTTCCGAACTAAAGAAGAAAGATTCTTTGTCAACGAATTATCCTGGACAGTCCTATCTGTTATTTGCAATTGCAAATAATCGGGAATGTCTTCTTTCTGCGATAACAAGGAACTCTGTACGGTCAATTGCGAACTTTCTTCAGAATTTTCCTTTACCAAAAATATTTTTTCTTCAAAAATATCTCTTGATATCTCTAGATTCTTATGAATATCTCTTTTCGTCAATTGCATCAGTGGATCAGTCAAAGTATTTTTTTTCAAACTGTCGTCATTTTTCTTTATCGAACGTTGACTCTCTTGAAGATCGTTTCGTGTTAGATTCTCCCAGGATAATTTAGTTTCTCCCACAATTTTTTTCGTCGCTCGCGATGTCTCATTAAGTAAATGTTTCTTCAGTAGATCTTCTCCGATGTTCTTCTGCGTCTGTAATAGTTCATCGGAATCTGTTTTTGGCAGTAGGAAGCTCTTGTCAACGTTTTTATTGGTCCCTTCTTTCTTCGGATACGAAAGACTGTCCTGATAATTATTCTTCACTAACGTTGCGTCGCTTCTTTCGACTGATAGCGCTTCTTCTCGAGCGTCACTCTTCAGCAACAACGAATTATCCTGAATTTCCTGCTTCAGTGGCAGTGAACTTCCCTGAACATCTTCCTTGTTCGCTAATAATCGATTTCGCTTCTTGCTATTTTCCTCTAAACTTCTCTTCGTAGTTTCTTCTTCTGATATTAAAGCCTGATTGCCTTTATTGACTAACAGTAATGCTTCTTCTCGAATATCCTTCTTTAATGACGAAGAATCTCGCTGAACATCCTTATTCCGGTAAATACTCTTCTTTAGCAGCAGTGATTGACTCTCCTTGATACTCCTCAACAACTTATCGCATCCCTCACTGACATTTTCTCTCAGCACTTTCCTGAAGAAACCTTCCGCTCTGCCGAGTACTTCTTCAGTACGATTTACTTTCCTATTGTCGAGCCCTTTCAACGGGCAGTCAGGTCTGTTTGTTATCCTCTTTCCGAGTTTTTTTAAATCTTCATCATCCTCTTCGTCCTCGGATCTAAATCCTTCGCCTTTCGATCCCCTGCGTAACGATCTCGATCTCTCGTGCAACCCCTCACAATCGCGCGCGCTATCTGTGTATATCGGGCGGTCGGAAGTTGCTGTCGCGTTGCTGCAGTCTGCACTTCCGGAACATCTCCCGTCGGCCAGAGCTCGGGATAATCCCAAAGGATGATCCGGCGTCGCGACGCGCCGGCGTCTCCAACGAAAAGATACGATAGATCACTTGACGCGCTCCCGATTGCACTTTCGTCGCACTCGCAAGAACGCACCGAAAAAAGTATATCACTTGTTTAATTAAGCGGATGAGATTTAATGAACGAAAAGATTATCTGGATCTCGAGAAGCACGCGCGGTAATGCGACGTTCTGCGCGTCCTCGTCTTCGCCTCGTCTGAAACAAAAAACGAACGCGAAGCTGTTGTGAAACTGATTAATACTACGTTCGCATACAAATTGCGATTTAATCGCATTTCTTATTTGCAATATTACATACAATTTAGTGTTATATATATACTCATTACAATTCGTCATATCATACTTTATTATATAGAATTTACGTTATTTGTTTCTATTTTTTTTTCTCCTATATAAATTTCCTCACACATGTTGCGCAATTCTCTCTCTTTATTAAATCCGAGAGATTTTAGAAAATTGTTGCGGCATACAATCAACATTCTTTTAATATCATTATCAACATTATTATTATTATCATCATCATCGGTACCGCCGCGTATATGTGTGTACATTATTATTATTACGCCGACGCGCAACGTGTTGCATCGTGAGTTTTATACGGATGCGTCGTGATACATCGCGCGCGCGGTCCGACGCATGTAATTCAAGTCGATAACAAGACTAGCCAGTGTTATTTTTATACGGCGCTGCGCATCCGCTGTGTTTTTACATGGTTGTATCGTCACGTACGCGAACCACACATGTCCCTTTGATATTTATTTATATCGTGTTCTAGAGTGTGAAAATCGGATAAACGCGTAACGCGTGACGTAACGTATGGTCGACTTACCTTTATCCTCTTTTAATCATACTGCGGCTCAACGCTTATCATTCAGCGTAGTCTACGACATATTATACGTAATCAGACACATTATACGTAACAAATATTCTTAACGCAATTAAAATTCTCCAATGGTAGAGAAAATAGTTGATTTACTATAAAAAATAGTTTGCCATTTACAGTTTTACTTAAAATTTTATGAAATAATAAAAATTTTCTCGACGAAATTATAGCGGCATAAATTTCGACGTAATTGTCGACATTTGAACATTTTGCTTGGTAATGCTGATATCGTCGAATAGTTCTCGCATTTAGCAGTTTCAATTCTCCTAATTGCTAATTAATTAGCGAGTGCTTATTAGAAGGCAAAGGGCCGGGGATCGGTGGTTGTGTGAAATACCATTCGGAAAGCTTCATATATTATTTCGCGAAAGCGATCACGTCTCCGAATATGCGACGGGGGAGAATAAGGGTTTTATAGACCCTCGCGTGTGCGCGCTCTTTTCTCCCGAGCGCGGAAGAAACGTCAATGGCCGTATATACACGGTATCTTTATTATATCGGAATTGTGAGACGCGCGGAATTTCAATGGTACCTTCAGCTTCGATGCAACAACCCCCAGACGCCATCGACTTTTACAACGAGACCTCGACTCGTATTACACGATGTAAGTGCCTGTTCGGATCGCAGATTCGAGCGAAACGACCGGACAAAGATCACCGATATCTCGACCCGATAAATATTGTTACGTTCGCGGCGCACGAAGCCGTTCTCGAGAGACGCCGATACTCGCGTGCGCGGACGCGGCAATGACAAAGGCGCACTTTCTTATAAACACACTTTATT